CACTACAGCGCTATTTCAAATTAACTTATTTCGAATTAGTTAATTTGAAATAAGCTAATTCGAAATAACGCATCTAGACACAAAAACTCCACAACACAGCAGGCGGGGAGGTGCATGGTGGGGAGAGGGAGCTGCGAGCACCGGGGTTGGCGGGTACATTTGGACGGTGCAAAAGGCCGATTGGCGGGGATGGACATGCCGGTGAGTGACTTTGGGGTGGCAGGACTGAGGAGCCCGGTCCGCAACGGGTGCCAGGCCTCCCATCGGGCAGCTTCGTTGAACGAGTAGACCCCACATGTTTGTGATCAACAGGGGCTCTCCGACCTCAACTGCGTCAGTCAATGCTGCGGCGTAGGGCCGCTCCACGGACGCGCTCGGCTCCTTGTGAGCGGCCTGTTTGATTCCCGGTCGGGTTGGGTGTCTGGTTGAGGCAGAATTATCGGGCTCCTCGGTCGCTCATACCCTCCGCCATGTCCTTTGTGTACTGGCCTGGATGAGAGACTGTGTTGCGGATGATGCCTGAGAGTAGCCGTGGCCAGAGGCAATCCCGGCAGGACAGACAATCGGATCACTGTGGGCAAATCAGGAGGCATCCGGACTAAGTGGGGTGGGGGGAACCCTGTATGCGAAACCCTAGTCTCATTCACTTCCATTCAGTAGGATTGAGGGCAGTCTTCATTCGCTGATTTGTTAGGTTTATCCTTTTACTCCTGGTATAGGACACTTACACTGATCTCAGACACTTCAGATACTTGACTGCCCACATTTCTGATTATCCTGATATGTGAAAAAATAACCTTTCCAGCTGTGAGATCTTGAGTTATTTGTTACTGGATAACTCTTGACCAGACCAACTTTTTAAATGTCTTGCAGTTAGGTTGTGTAGTAATAAACTAAAATATTATGCCTGAACAGCAGAAATGCTTTTACCATATGTTTATAATATCTCTACTGATCTTATTCCATCAGTTGAAATAAACTACTTGTCTTTTTAACTTTGTCCTTGTTTAAAGTTTATAATGCAGTAGTATTTAGAAACTAAGTCTGATCATGCTTTTTAACCCCATGATACATTCAATAAACATCCCAAAATATTCACAAGTAGTATTTCCTCACCTACTGTAAACTAGAAAATATTTTTATTTATTTTCAGTTTGTGTACTTTGTGTTTGTCACAGTACTTTCAGTTTAGCAGTTCCTTTGTATAGCCAGTTGTACTCTGTTCTTTGTGTGGGCTTTTCACAGAGCAATAGGAAAAAGAGAAACCATTATTTAAAACAGGAAAGTGATTACAAAACCATCAGTAATTGCAGCTGTTCCAGAAACTTATTTGTTTTTAATTAAGTAGATTTCATATTTGATTCTTGTATCTTTGGCATCCCCAGAGGTTTATGAAACCATGCAATATTTCAAATAATATTCTAAATACTTTTGTCTAACTCTATTTTAGGTAATTTGGGAAAGGATCTTGAATACCTTTAGTGAACAGTCTAACAAACAAGCCACCTGTAAAACACGTGGACTACAAGGACAACAACAAAGCTGACTTTTAATATCCATCTCAAAAACTGAGTGGACTTGTATTTTAAACGTCTGAATATTTACAATGAATGGGCACAGTGATGAGGAAAGCATAAGAAACAGTGGAGAATCAAGGTAAGTACTAATCATTTCAAGTTTCTGCTATATGGCTTTGTTTGAAGACAGCTTGAATTTTTAACTTTATTGTGGAGAGCTGAAACTCTTTGGCATAGATGCAGATCATAGTTTTGAGGTCTTGCTGTGTCCTCTTTGGATCCTTGGTACCATTCCTGTCACCATAATAGTTTGATGTATTCTGTATTTATAAACATACAGTTAACTAATTGGTATTTAGACTAAACATTACATTTAACTGGTTAACCAATTAAAGGGGACGGGCAGGGGAGCTGCTCTGCTGGAACAGCTCCCCTGCCTGCCCAGGCCAGGTCTGCCATATGTGGGGGCTGCTTAACTTAATGTTTAGCTGGTAACTGATTAAATAGGATTTTACATTCCTATTTCAAACTTTGTTTTGGTGCTTGAGGATGTATATTGTTATTTGTTGTTTAGAAGATGTTCTTCTTGCTCTAGGGAAGTTTATTTAGTATAATACAAAATTTGTTTTTCAAACCAAGGTAAGCAGTCCTCATTGAACTTCAAAGACTATTTTTTGATTTTTCATTAATGGGAATAGGAAAAATACAACTTTGTGTATAATTTTCATAGAATGTATAAATGTAGGGTTTCTCTGGATTTCTGATAACCTCCATGGCTGTTTTTAGAGTAGAAAATATAACTTCCATCTAAGAAATGCCTGACTGCAGATAATTTGAGCCAAGTTGTTCTTTTTATTTTTTGTTATTTTTACCATCTTCACACTTAAACAACAAGAGTGAAATACCCTTTCTTTCAATGGGATGTTAACTAGTTGTCATTCAAACTTCAATGTGTCAGTATTAACTATTTAATCAATTAACAAATCAGTTAAACCCAGATAATGTGTCTAAGCGCTATGGACTGGAATTAGAAATTGTTATCCTACAAATGTACTTGGTATGGTGTGCTAAGCTTGTGTGACTGTAGGATGCTCAAAGATTTCTGTTTAAATTAGTGACATGATGAATGCTGCACATGGGAGGGGAAAAACATGCACAAATATATATTTACACGGTAAATGATCCTATGTCTCTGTTTAATGAGAACTTCAATTATACCTAGAGTTAACAATGTATGTGCATTTTATGCTATTCTCTAAAATGACTAGTTTCAAATTTTTTGTTTTAGTGTTTGATAATTATAATGATTCACTCCAATATTTTTAAAAGCTTAGTTGATGACTAGACAGTTACCTTGCTTTTTATTGGAAACAGCAAAGTTGCAGGATTTTAGCTGCAATTAATACCATAATGTTCCTCAAGTTCAGAGCTATACTTATTTTTACTTTCTCAAAAAAAAAATAGTGTCAACAAACGCTAGCCTGATTTTCAAAATGTTGTAAATCAAAATTCAAAAACTGTGGCTAACTTGTCTGGAACATCTCAAATTTCTTTGCAAATGTATGGAATTGCATTGGCTATTTAAAAAGAAACACAAGCCATCCTAATTAAAGATAATGTAGAAAGAGAGATGCCTCATCTCAAACTGAAATGTCGCACCTGCTGCATAATGTATCTAGAATAACAATGTGTGTTTTCATGTTTAAAAAAGGTATAAAAAATGTTGCAATTAACTAAAATGTTTCAATTGTGTCCAATAATCCGATTACAAGTGAATATCAAGCAGAGATTCTAATATACATAATCAGCTTAATTATTAATTCTGGAGTCAGATTTCATTCTGCATTTAAATACAGCTTGTTTAAATGTATTATTTATTAACCATATAGCCAAATAATGCATGAATAGAACTTGAAAAATCTAGTTCCCTACTTGCAAGCAGGAAGCCTTTCTTTGTGAATGGTAGATACATTTTCATTTTAAAAGTTATTTGAGCCCTAGTTGTGAAGGTAATCTGAACTGTGTGTAAATTCTAGCAGTACTGTCTAGCTAAAATCCATCAAAGGGTCCTTAAATGTGTGGTCAACCCATGTAGCTTTGTTATACCATAATGCTTTTTTGGAGACTCCAGAATGTAATCTTTTTCTTTTTTAAAAAAAGAACATCTAACTCTTCTTGTTGCAGAGATAAGCTTTCAAATGTTCCCAATTCAGTGATATCTGTGTTCTAACCATAACCCAGAGAGCTGAACGCTCATGTCCCATTTTAATCTGACTAGAAGATCAGTATTGAAGTCTTGTGATGACACTTCATTGTCAACATAAACTGTTTAATCGCAGATCATTTTAGTGGATGGAATGGGGGTGAGAATAGGAGTGAAACACAATGAGTAGGTGAGTCAGAGTTGCTGCAAGAAAGTAAATTCAGAGAAAAGGATATAGGAGGCACTCAAAGACAGGGAATGGGGAGAGAAACCAATAAAAGAGGTTGGGGAAGGAAAAAAAAACCCAGAAAGAGTTGTAATTCTAGAAAGGTCTTTTATATTCTGTGTGACAATACAACAGATGCGGCACTGAACAAAATACAGGTGCTCCCAAGTTTCAAAATCCAACTTATGAACATGTACACTTACAAGCCATATTTTTTTTTTACCTTTAGCCTCAGTGGTGTCAGGCAAGAAGCACAGGTGAAGGATAGCAGCGCGAGTGCTGGCTGCAGGAGTAGGGGATGACTGTGCAGCTAGTGTCTGGAAACAAGCAGCACTTTGAAGGGGAAAGCAAGCCCCTGTTCGCTGCCTCATGGTGTGCAAGAAGTTGTTGCACAAGTAAAGCTCTCAAGAACTGTTCCTGTAGCCTGATGATAGAATTCTAGCTGTCTTCTATTTCCTTCAGTTGGTAATGGGGGAAGGGAAGGAAGAAGAGATCTTGCTTCTGACGAGTACAGATCTCTCTTATTTGTGTTCAGTCTCATTCCCCATCCAGAGGTTGATTAGATTTATCATTTGGCTTTTCTATCCCTGTACACTCATAGCAGCTGCCAGTTGGGAAGAATTTTTATCACTTATGAAAAAACTTGTAACTTTCATGTTCATAGTCCAAGCATTTGTGAAGTATTGCACGTGAACCTTTGTTGTTCATATGCCATACCTGGAAAATGCTTTGGCTAAGAATATGAAAGTTGAATGGAGTTTTTTTTCCACAACTGAAAAAATAAACTTTGTATCTATAATTTATCACTGGGGCCAACGATGGTGACAGCTGTAGGGTGGACAAGACTAAACATTTTATCATCTACCTCTGTTTTTTATCATCTGAGTGTTCTGTTACATGATTGTTTGGAGGCTTCTTTTCTTTCTGCTTATTCCAGTATGTAAAGTGCACAATCCTGTGATAATGTATGTATCCAGAGCACTTAACAGTAACATCACAAATATTGTTTCTCTGAATAGGAAGGAAGCATGAGCAGATAAAGTCAGCAATAATAAAACTGTCTTTGTGCAAATGACTTTGGTTGTTAAGGAGGAAAGAAACATTGTGGGAATCAGGTGTTCAGAAAAAGTTAACCTTTGTGGGCTAGTAACTTTTTAAGGAGGCTCAGTTACATTTGCTTGCCAGTTAGCATCAAGAAAAGCTAAGCAAGTTAGGGCAGCCCCATGGGGAAATTCAGTACTACATTACCTACTCCTGAATTGCATACACATAATATCAACACTAATGGGCTGAACTAATGTCTGTGATCTGTATTCCATTTTTCTGCTCCTTTTATGTGCTTCAGATAGGACAGGGAAGTGAAGCATTGTATTGTACAAACCTCCCTTTCTCTGGGTGAAGAATGAATGCATAGGAAGGAGGAAAAGAAGTGTCACTGTCCCCACTAGTAGCCAAGAAGTGCCCTGGTAGTGCTGTCCCTGAACCCTCTCTATGTGAACATTGCATGGACTTACAAGATAGAGAGCTAGTTCTGCTAAGTGAGATGCCCTGCTTAAATTCAGCATCAAAGCCCAACCCATTCCTTGAGCCAAACTGGAAACACATTTTTTAGGGAAATGGGAGGTACAGCACCCACTACTAAGACAAGTCAGTCTGTTCGATTCCAGCACAAATCGGAAAGTAAAAGCAGTTTGTAGTATCTTTTCATCAAAAGAGTTCATATTTTAAAAAACTCTGAAAGAAGATTCTATACAATTTTGATTTTATTTTGTGGGTGTACAGTGGGCTTCATGGATCCGGGGGGGGGAGACATTTTCCTCCATTGCTTATGTATTACTAGAAGGTTTACCCAGCATTGCTGGGGTTCTTAACTGAATTAATTTTTCAGTTTTTTTAAAAATAAAATGAAAATGTACATGCTTAATTTAAATCATTGTGCTGGGGTGGGTTGGGGATGGGGGATTCAGGATGCAGGCTACCCCTGGGAGGGAGGACTAGCCCAGCTCTCACACCATTAGTAGCTTGTGGCTAAAGCAGAAGAACCTCTTTATGGCTGCTGCAGCTCTAGTGCGCGCAGCTGAGGAGGGTGCATGTCTCCTGTCTGGGGCATGTGTAAGTTCATCTGCCCCCTGAATGCCGCAGGCAGAGTGAGGAATGCAGTTAACTGTGCACTTTCTCCTTGCTCCCTGATGAAAGGGAAAAGCCAGCAATATTCACATATGAATGGGGGAGGGGGAGCTTCAGCCCTCCACTGCCCTACCTAAAGGGCATCTGGGGGTCAGAGGCTTGAGGCTAGGGCAATCCTAAAAGGGGGGGGGGGGGGGAGGGGCCGC